TCACGGTGAACCCAAATCTGTCTGAACATTTTCTCGATATCTGCTGTGAAGGCGTACTTAAACTGTCTCCACTTCAGTATGAGAGTTTGTAGGTCTTGCTGTAGGTTTGGACCTCGAAACATGAAATCATTTAATGTCTTGCCATTAGACATTTTTGCCGATGCATTAAACACTGTACACTGTGACGTAGTCGTTGACTCGGTACGCATCACACAGTGGTGAGGTAGGTAACAATCGGGTTTCGTGTTACCGATAGCAGGTTGTAAGTGACGTAACGATATGTACTCATTCATAAATAATTTGTATTTTGCTGACATGTCTAAATTTTTCCCAAATTTTCTTTCTAATTGCCGAAATTGTGCTATCGCGATATGTTTTGATTCGCCTATTTCTGTTTCAAAATAAGGTGCGAAGGGGATACGTACTTCATACCGACCGTCTGATTTTCTGGTGGTGGTATTTTTATAAAATTCAGTACAGTACTGATCTTCAGCCGATAAGGACGATTCTTCTGATATATCTTCCACCTCCCAGAACCGTTGAATATCATCTAAGTTGTTTAGGGTGACGTTGCATTGTAAGGTCTTAGTGCCCCCACACAGAATCCAGCCGAGGCGTGTTTGCTGGGCAATAGGCATGTAGTGCTCACCTCTGCATATTCCTTCTAAAATGACGTTAGAGTACACATCGGCTCCCAGCAGTATTTGTACGGGACGACTGATATAGAATTCGCTATCCGCTAATTCTAGGCCTTCCAGATGCGCCCAAGATGGCTTTGAGAATGACTGACTAGGCAAATTCTTGATTAACGTTTTCATAATGGCCGCATCGGTGTTAAAAGAAATGTTATTATGTAACGAAGTAAAAGTTATGTTTGTCGTTCCTTTGCAACTACTTTCTTTTGTTCCAATCCCCGAAACGGTACCCTTACAATGTCTTCTGTTTAACTTTAATAATTGGGCTGCATTTTCCGTAATCAAGGACAGTTGAGATCCTTGATCTATTAGGGCCCGCATGGTTAGGAAGGTACCATCTCTTGCTTGCACCTTAATCATAGCTGTTGCTAAGAGGATTTTAGGCGTGTCATGTTGTTGCGACACATGTGTGCTAGATTTTGGTTCAATCTTTGGTTTTGCTGACGACGAATTTATGTGCGCCTCGTGCAAGATTGAATTGTGAAATTCTCCGCAATGACGACATCGCTTGTCCGAAGTGCAAGCCTTCCCATTATGGCTGAACAAACAGTTTTTACAAATATTGTATTTTTCCACTGTTCTAATTTTATTGCTATCTGGCATGTTTAAAAACTTTTGACAATAGTATAAACCATGATTTTCTTCACAAATGAGACATTTCGTGGTATGAGAGTAATTACTAACTTGTTTCTTAGAGTTTGACGAGACCTTATTTGCTGTGAATGACTGCTTATGATATGATAATTTACCTTGCTGTTGTTTCGATCCTAATGCTGTGGATAAGTTTTGGTTTACGGATTTTTGCGGAGCGTCTTGTTTTCTCCGTGTCATGGTGGATTCCATAGTAGTAAATTTACTTTCTAAAAAGGATAGAAATTCTTGTAACGTAGGTAGTTCTCTCGGCTGTTTAAGCGATTCCAAGTAATCACTGTGCGTATCAGGATCGAGTTTTTGGGACAATACGTGTACTAGAATTGGGTCCCACGTACTTATGTCCACACCTAAATTTTTGACAGCATTTAGGCATTCAAGGGTGGTATCGTGAATGCGCTTGATAATATTCATCGACACGGTTTGTATTACAGGTAGCGACATTAAAATATTCATGTGAGATGTGAAAATTAATTTCTTGTTATTGTATCTGTGGTTTAAAATTTCCCAACAAACACTGTAATTTTCAGAACTTATCTGTAGATGTTGAATAAGTCGTTCAGCTTCGCCTCTCACCTTGCTTTTGAGGAACTGCATTTTTTGAGCCTGGGAAAGTGATGGATTGCTGTGAATTGTTTCGGTAAATAAATCTTTGAATGACGTCCATTGATAATAATTACCATGAAATATTGGAATTTCCATTTGTGGTGTTGATTTCTCCCTGTGTGATACAGACCATAGTTTGCTGTTAATTGACTTTTTCACGAAGTTATACCTCCTTTCGTTCGCTGTAAAACTATGCTCATATTGTTCATACACCTCGGTGCCGTTTATCATGCTATCTAATTCCCAATGTAATGTGTCGATGGTAGACCATCTTGATTCAAGCTGACGCAACAGGTCTTGAAATTCCTATTTCTCCGTAACTGCTTCCAGGTCCATATGGGATGTTGTCCTCGAGAAAGCTCTAAAATTACTTTCCTGTTTTCTTAATAAGTCAGTAGTCTTGCTGTCTACTCCTTGTGACTTAGTACTCGGCCCGGCGATGGAGACAATAGGCTGGTCCGATGACGATGTTCCTGGTTGTGGAGTGGTCGGCTGCTGTTGGTCAGTATCTATTTTCGGCGATGGCCTGGGTGTTGTAGCTAAATACTGCTTAAAGTGTAGTTTCACCCTGTTGTAAACTTCTTCAGCACTTTCGAAGTATCTGTGTTGAAAATAAGGAGACTCGTCTAAGTCATACTTACTCAACTGTTCATGGTTAGCCTGAAATTCATTCCAATACTCCTCTAAAGCGTCCAGCTTCCTCTTGATATAGTCAGCTGTTCTCTTGTCCCGCCCAGTTTTCTTAAAAGATGCGAGGAGCCGTTCCATCTCCTCGACGAGTTGCTCTTGATTTACAACGACGGCTTCGATTTGCGACATCGTGTTTTGCTAGATAAATTAAAAGATCTTACTTGATATAACTGCAAACCCTTGAAGTCCTGTTCACGGAGCCCTTTTGTCCGTCGATGAAGAATATGCCGAAATTATTCACTTGTTAGAACAATTTCGTTACGATATTTAATATTTACGCGCGAAGGTCCTGCTTAAAACCAAACCGCGCGCTAGGTTCAAATCTCGAAGGACCACTTTGATGTAAGGTATTTACACCAAGAAATAAAATGCTGGATAATTAGTTAACTTGTTTTAACTATTTATTGTATTTAGCTAAATCTAACTAAATCTAAAATGATACGGGTTAATGACACTCTTGTTAGGTCAACCGTTTGAGTACGAAGCTTGATATGTACTACTTATTGCTAATGAGTAAAATGTCCGTGTTGGCGTAATATGCTGACACGACAATGTGCGGGTGCATTGCCCGTACAGGATATATAATGTAAAGAAATAAACGTCGACGAAATATATTTTTTGAAGAATCATGCTATGTTTATTGAAAAAGTACTAAATGAAATAAAATCTCTAGGAAATAGGTGTTCATTAAAATGTTATGTCTTGAATGACGTACGACGAATTGATGACAAAGATGGCAGGAAGGTGATATTAAACGACTTCCATCTTTTGCCCACAAGTGGCCACGCGGGCATGAGAAGGATGTTTAACAATATTAAGAAATATTTTTACTGGCCAGGTTCAGAGAAAGATGTTCGAGATTTCGTTGAAAAGTGCGAAAATTGACAAACACAAAACACTATAAGTATTAAGGAGCCGATGGTTATCTCTTCTACGGCTACAGCGGCATTCAACAAATATTCTTAGATTTAGTAGGGCCGTTGGATAGGGACTGTTTTAATTATACTTATGCTTTTACATTACAATGCGAGTTAACAAAGTATGTTGTGGCTCAGCGGTCAGGTAAGAGTCGAACTCGTGCGCCGAGGGTTCCGTACCTACCCAGATTTTCGCGAAAATTTTCGCGTTATTTTTTGGAATTATTACTTTGTTTGTGCTGTAAGACGTTTCTTTTTGCCAAATTTCGTGATTCTAGGTCAACGGGAACTACCATATAGATTTTCGACCCAAAACCTATAGGGTACTTCCGGTTGACCTAGTTTTGTCAATTTTGGTTAAAAAAAAGGTCTTACAGCACAAGTAAAGAGAAAATCCTGAAAAATAAAAAAAGTTGAAAATTAAGGTAAATTTTGGTACTTAAAAGAATTTTGGAGCCAATGTCTTCCATATTGGTGTTTTTCCTTTAATAATTCCGTGCATTCGGAAACTAAATTTACTCCCCATGAGTTAGTCTTTGGAAAAATCTGTTCTCTTTCTAGTAACTTAAATAGCAACGTAGTAGAACCGCTATGTAATCATGATAATTATTACTTACTACTGACTTTAGTTATCACAAGGAAGCAAGGGAAAATCTACTCAAAAGCAAAATAGCGAGGAAATGTATTTATGACAAACGCATTAACCCTATTGAATACAAACCCAATGACTTAATTTTAATAAGAAATGAAAACTGTAGCAAAATGGATAGTGTTTATTCCGGTCCATATGTTGTTGTAAAAGATGTAACACCAAATGTTCAAATAAACAACAATGGCAAATTAGATTTAATCTATAAAAACCGCACAAAATTGTTCATACCGAATACTTAATTATATTGCCTTAATTAAAGTTACCTACTGACCTTACTAAGATTCCAGGTTCGAATCCTGGCAGGGTCGCCATGTAAGGCAGGATATTGGAAAGGTATTGAAACACCGAATGTTGAGACAATACTGAATATATTTTAAAATACTCAATCATTATATAGGGGTACATTTGTATATATTATAGGATACACACCACAACCAATTTCTACCACTTCATCGACTTTTTTTTTATTAGCGCTAGCAGCACTGAGTTATCATTTGTTTTGACGTCAGTCAGACGATCAGTCAGAATCAGAATAAATAAAGTCGTAGTAATTGTATTGTAGTCCTGAACGTTTTTACTAAGTATGGTTCAATAAAAAAAACTTTGAATGACAAGATACAACAAGCAATGCTGTATACACACACACAACACAAATTGATGCGGAAATCAGTTATGACGATCAATAATAGTTTTTTAGTGTGTGTTGTAAATGATGTACCTACCTTGAAATTCAGAAATATTAAGACTGTGTCCATTAAGTAAACTAGTGCAAATACCGGTGGTTACTAGACAGTGTTAACATAAGAGGTAAATTGTATACATAGCATTTACGCATGTTTGCTTTATAAATGTTACTTCCATAGACTATACAAAGGTACCTGCACCATCACATCAAATAGTTTCAAAGTGATGTGATTATAATATGGCGCAATAACTGACTTTTAGGTACAAAAACTTGAAATCAATTTTTTTTGATCATCTATATTTAAATCATAAATTATTAAAATAACTAGTTTTCTATAAAAAGTCAAAGTTAAGTTATCTATGAGCTACTACTGTTCAAGCTTTAAAAGCTACTTATGCTGCAGGCTATGGTATTGAATAATAATAATAATAATGAAACTTTATTGCAAACACAAGATTACTCCCCTAAAATACATATACTGCAATATTGAAAATTTGTTCTGATTCAAATTTACCAAATATGATGGTATGCAAGGGTTGATGATCCAAATTATTGATATTTATTTTATTTTTGTTTATTGCTAAAAGTTTATTTGTTTATTAAAAAAAAAACAATGTGTAAATAGTTGCTACAGTTTTCATTTAATTTTTAAATATAAATTTTACTGAGTTTTAAAATGGATAAGCTTAGTATAAATTAAATATGTCTAACAGAATTCTTAGAATCTGTCTTTCTTGTCTTCTAACAAGCCTTCTACGGTTTATCATAATATGAAGATTTTCTGATTAGTGTGTTGAGCATATCACACTATTCTATTTTAGGTGGGAAACCAAAAGATACCCATACAATTATTTTTGAAATTTATTATAATTTAATAGTGAAATTTAATCATCAAAAATTGGCTTTTTTAAGATTCCCTCGCAAATTTCTAAAACGCAACGCTATTGGTTGAATAAAACGTGACGTCAACCTACACTGTCAAGAGTGTCAACAAGTTGCGTGTATTTGTAATATTTGGTTTCTGGTGAATTTTTGTTTCATTTTAAGTTAATAACTAATACGTTTTCAGTGTTTAAATTATTAAATTCCCGTGTAGAAAGACTCAACACAATGACTGAATATTTAAAATTGCACTTTGTCAGGTGCAGTTTTGATATTATTTGGGCACAAAGGAACGGCACAATATTTATAATAAGTTTTTATTGGCTTTTCCATGGTAATAAGTTAATTTTTATCACTCACTTTTTTAACTTTCACAAACTTTGTGAACTTCACTCCGTTGTTGACATCGAATTCGTCTGAAAGTGGAATCTGACGTCACAAAAAAAGCGATTGTCCCCTCAACAAGTTATGTCCATCCACATATTCTTTCTTTTGGAGGATTTAGAAAACCTATAAGATGCACCACAATGATATACCACTATTTTTACAAATAATGACTTAAACAAAAACCAAACTAATATTGACCTAAACTATTGAACCACATGCTGTCATTAGACAAATACAAGTATTGTAATTTACATAATGAGTGAAAGGGACATTTCAAATAGACATCAACGGGTGGTTAATTGTTATTACTTTGCACCATTATGTTACCAGTATAAGTTGTTAAGTAATAAGAATAGAATTTACTTAACGATTAAATGTTATACCATCTTTTTGATAAATAACTGAATGTCTTAACTGACTTGCCACACCATTTCACTGCACAGCAAGACATTTCTAATATATTTTGGAAACAAAACTATTTTCAAATTAATAAGAATGGATGTATGGGTCACAAACTTGGTCATTACTAATGTCGTGATTCTTAGCGTCACTTCGCATGCTTTTGTTGGCCTGTATGCGGAATCTATTAGTGGGTCATCTGTGGTATTACATTATGACCAAAAATACAAATACACACAAAAAATATAGAAAGAATTCGGCTGCCTTTTTGATCCAGTGCTTGTACATATATGACGTCATTATTCTTTCTGACAGACTTCTTAGAGTAGCATTAAAACTATTCATTTGTTCATCTGTCATTATTGTTAATATCGATCCAGTATTGAGGATAGCAACCGACACTTGTTTAGTAGAATATGTGTTATGGCTTTAAATAAACTTTAAAAATATTGAAGTTTTTTGGTTGTTAATACTAGTGCGATGGCGACAACGGAAAATGGAATCTCGACGTTCCGAGCGGGCCCCGAGAGCGGCGCCGAGGAGGCCGGCTCCAAGGCAGACGACGGTCTCACGACAGCGCAGCGCGCGCGCATCGAGCGCCAGCGCCTGAGAGCGCGCGCACTGCGCGACGCGCGCCTCGTGCAGCGCCCTGAGCGCGCCGAACGCCTCGCTACGTGAGCATGGCCCTTCCATACCGATTTATTGTGACTTGACCATTTGTTTATTCACTCGGAAAGTGCACTCAAATGTCGGTGTTTTAGAGCGAAGCCACACGATGCGTTGACGGTGCGATGCGGAATTCGAAGTATAGGGTGCCACACCGTCGTGCACCGCTGTTTGGGAGATATGAGATAGTCTATAATAATCTATATTATCGTCCTCGTTAGTACTCGTTTTACAACTTACTATTGATATAAAATTACGGGAAAATATATAGTATAGATAAAAAACCTTTTTAAAAATAAGCTTTTATTTGAAGAATGAAATAAACTTTTCCTTTAAAACTTTTAGTATCAACTTATAAGGTCATTACACAATTATTATGATATAAAAGCTCGATCGCGAGATTTAAGTACTCGTATTTACATAGATTGAAAATTTTAAAAATTAAAAACAATCAGATCAAGTTATTTAATGTACTTTTTTATGTACACAGGGTAAATCTCGCGACAAACTTTATATCATAGAAATTGTGTAATGACGTTATAAGTTGTTAGTAAAAGTTTCTATAAATCTCCACAAAAATAAGAACCCACACAACATGGTGTCAGGAGTGAAATAAATTTTTGGGACAAATCCAACCGGGAAAAATAAAAACCGCAAGTCAAACATTTCTACTAGTCATCGAATCATCGTCTCGTG